TTTATGAATGTAATATGCGAATCTGGTTATGCTATTTTAAATAAAGTGGAAAAAGAATACGCTACTCGTACAACAGCAACCACAAATACTATTTTAGATCATGTGATTTCAAACTTAAGAGACAGAAGCTTTCACTTAGCTATACATGATTCGTCAATATCAGACCATAAACAAATTTTTGTAGGAATAAAGAAATTTAAACCAGTTCCACCACAACGAGTAAAATATGAAGCTATTAATTATGATCTTTTGTACAAATATAGTGAGGAAGAGTTTTGTGACACTAGAAATGATAGCAAGGAGTTTTACAATCTTAATGAATCAATAAAAAAAGTTATAACTAAAAGTAAAATCAGTAAAATAAAAATACAAAACCCACCCCAAAATGATTGGATAAATATCAAAATTATTAATAGCATACATTCTAGAAATAAACTTTGGCAAAAACTTAAAAAAATGCTCGAATAATGAAAAAGAAAAGCTCATAAAGCTACATAAAAAAGCAAGAAATGAAGTAACAACACTCATAACTAAAACAAAAAGTGAGTACTACTATAATTCATTTAATATCTGTAAAAATAACCCTAAAAAAATGTGGAGGCTTATTGAAACCCTAACAAAAAATAAAATAAAAACGGATAGTATTCCTCCAAAACTAAATACTCTTTTTAGGAGAAATAACAGATGGAAATCATATTTGTGAAGAATTTAATTTATTTTTCGCAAAAATTGGATCGGTCTTAGCTAACGAGATAACACAGGCTTTTTCGGAGGTAAATAATTCATACATTTTTAGTAACAAACATAAAAATGCAATTAATGAACTATCAAATTTCCAAAAATGTGACGAATATGAAGTGGCTAAAATAATCGACCAACTAGACCCTAATACGAGCTCGGGAATAGATGGCATTACAACAAAGGTAGTCAAGTGTATTAAGGACTTAATTCTTACAAGGCTTACTTCTTGTATAAATGACTGTCTTGAAAGCGGAACATTTCCAGATGAACTGAAAACAGCTAAAGTCACACCTATATACAAATCAGGTACGAAAAGTGACCCCAGTAACTACCGTCCTATCTCTGTCTTACCAGTAGTTTCCAAAATTTTTGAAAAAGTAATATATAACCGCTTAAATATATACCTAACATCAATTAACTTTATTTCAAACTGTCAGTATGGTTTCCAGCCTAGGTCAAATACCTTAGCCGCAACGATAGATTTGATTACCAAAATAAAAAAAAACATTGATGCAAAAAACTTAGGGCTTGGAATTTTTATTGACCTAAAAAAAGGCGTTTGATTCAATAAGTCACTCACTACTATTAAAGAAACTTTCTCATATAGGTATTAACGGCCATGCCTTAAAAATTTTTGAAAGTTATCTAAATAAAAGATATCAAATTGTAAAGATTGGTCACTATCAAAGTTCCCCACAACCCATTACGTACGGTATTCCCCAAGGCTCTATATTGGGCCCACTTCTTTTCCTGATTTATATAAATAACATAACTGATCTTAAATTAAATGGCGAAATTTCTTTATATGCAGATGATACCTGTATTTTCTACTTTGGACGTTCCATAGAAGAAGTTATCGCACGAGCCCAAGTAGATCTAAATATACTACATAAATGGTTCCAATCCAATTTGCTTACAATAAATACATCAAAAACCTCGTACATGATATTTAAACCCAAAAATAAAAACATTTGCAGTTATTCCCCTCTCACCATTGACAACTCTACAATACATGAGTCAGCCGAAGAGAAATATTTAGGCTTAGTACTAGATAAAACCTTGTCATGGAAGGGTCATATAGGCAAAATAAGATCGAAACTATCTTCTCTACTGGGTTCACTTTATGGTTGTATTCGATGCCTTCCTTACCGTGTTCGCCGAACAATTTATAATACTTTAGTCAAACCACATCTGGATTATCTAGTTGAAATTTGGGGGTGCACCTACAAAACAACATTAAAGGACCTACAAATAAACCAAAATAAAATATTAAAACTATTATTCAATTATAACTTCTTTACACCTACAGACAAACTGTACAGTGAAACCAAAATTATGAATATTTATCAAACATATTGCTATAATACTTGTATTCTAATAAAGAAAATTTTAGATAATAAAATACACACACAATTAAAATTTATAACAAATAAAGGCAAAGGAAAGAAAGTACTTCGCAACACTAATAATATTTACATACCTATGGTACGAACAAACTATGGTAAGCAGAGCATACTTTTTGATGGAGTTAAAATATATAATAAACTACCACAAGAAATAAAAATATTAAATAGTTTTAACATCTTTAAAAGCAAACTAAAACAACATATAATGAATAACTTCTAAATCCGACCCTGCCCATATGCCGACCGCTAATCAGTGTTATCGGTAACGATAAGAAATGCCTTACTTACTACCCACTTTATTTATTACTATCTACTAAAAGATTGCTAACTTGTACATCAATACACAAAACGTTATATTGGAAGTATTAAGTTGTATGCCTAAACTAGTAAGAAGTTGTATGTCACGAAACTCTTTCCTCCCTTTCTAATGTTAATACATATGTATATTTTTTTTTTGCTATCTGTATGCTCATAACTCATTTATAACTCGAATATTGTAACCTCTCATTAAGTGAAATGTATATTTCTTTTGAGAATAAAATATCTTTAACCATAAATTGGTAATTTCTGACCACAGTTTTCCGTTTACGTCTCTGTTCTGGGTTGGGTGTACCACATAATTTTGATACTCCTAATATTCGGGCCACATGTTTGTAATTGTGCCCAGTGTCAGTACAGTGACTGTCCTAACAACTTGAGAGGCGTTTAGATATACAGATTTAGGCAAAAATTTAAGCAAACCCTAACTCTAAAGTTAGCAAAAATTTTCGCAGTATAAAGGAACGCGGTTACGTTTGATAAAAACAAATGAAATTCGGAAAAAAAACCAACTTTCTTTTTTTAATAGCATATACTAATGTTTGTGGCCAGTAGGCGCGCTGATTACATCAGGAAAAATTAAAGCTTTTTTTTTTGCGTTCCACTAAATATGTCCATGAGTCCACTTAAAATTAAAATATTCAAGTTTAATAGTATTTTTTATACCTACATGTTCATTACGATGTCCCCTTTGCCAATTTCAACCACGGCTAGTCACCATACATCTCACTGCCAGTATGACCGTCTTAGGAAATAATGGATTTCTTATTCGTTTCCTTTTTCATTCATTTAATTTCTGAGAGGGTTATGGAGCTATAGTAATAGCTCGCGTTTTAGTGCATTGGCGGACTTCACATGTTTTCAAAAACAATTTCATTCCTCAAACATACGGGTTTCCACACGATGTTTTCCTTTACCGCTGAGCACGCGGTAAATCAGCACTTAAAATTAAAATTAATAACTTCATTGATGTCGGCGGGAATTGAATCCGGGGTGTTCGCGTAATTTGAAATTTACGCCGGGCGCTTAGCCCCTAACCTAACTTTACCATTCCTCATTTTCATTCTTCACAATTCATGATATCACGACTTCATTAACACCAATGCTAATAGGAAATTTACCAAATATCTCGGTTTATTACCTTAACAGTTTTGTGTTAATATAGCTAACATTAATGAGTTATCCAATTGGGAACCGGTTTAATTTAGATAAATTGTAAAAGGATTTCCCAAGCGCACTGCCCTTTAGATGTTTACTAATGACAACCATTTTAAATTTGGAATTGTTTTAAGATAACGATACTCAGAAGTTCTGCTGATGACGACAGTTTATGCGGGAGTTTCAAACGTGTATTTTGACGTCACTAATTTTTATATCAGGTGAGAAACGACTGGATGGATAGCGCGTGGTCAATTAGATATTTCTTTCAGGGAGAATGCCTATAGACATCCGCCTCGCGGGGGCAACGTTGGTTACATTAGACTTTTACCGACTAAACACGTGTTCCACCTCTGTCATCGACAGGACCACAGAAACGCTTTTGGGCACAATCACAGTCCCACTAGCGCCAACTGCCCCTTAGCGGTCCCAACCTCAAATTTAAAAAAAAAATAATATAAGGGTGAAAGGGGTAAGTGAATGCTGTGGCCCATAGACATTCACACTTATTCCAGTCACCCCTGAGGACTAAGATAGAATGCCTCATTTCCAGTAAAAGGGGTATCCGGTTATCTACACTCACCATAAGAAACAAAGTAGCATTAAGCTGCTATTTCACGCTGGCATTATGCGAGCCGACACGTTCATGCTACGAGCATAATATATCTGCATGTGTGGTTGGTGGCTCTACCACGTATAAAACCACCTGCGCACCGGAATCCTCTTTCCCAACCGGATAATTCGTGGAGGCTATGCGGCTAGACAAAACAAGTCCCACGTACCACGCCTACATAATCTCCAAAAAAACTAAATGTAGTTAGAATATCACCTAAAATTAATAATAAGTTATACATTTTTGAAAGTATCTTTTAACTAACAATTTTTATGTGAATTAGTTCCAGAGGAAAACATCTTTAACAGAGATAGACGGATAAATACGCTGTGATAGCACCAGCATTCGGTTTTGCTAATTATGACACGGCCAATGAACCTAAACAATAGTAAAGTATGCTCGTATAAGACACTTAAGTACCTATGTAAAATAAACGCCAAGGCATCTATCGTAGTTTTCATATTGTATACTATATTAATCGTTTTAATAATCATTGCCAACCAGTTTGCGTTTGCGCATAACCTCACTTCAAGACGCGCTTTGATGTCTATATATTATATATCTGTGTCTTTCTTACTTTATCTCACGTCGCACTCACTTGCCGATCGTAAACTTGAACTTTATATCATTATTTCTTATTTCTGTATTTCGCCATTATTCTTATAGAATCGAGCGCGGGATCGCGCGTCGCGTTCTGTCGGGAGATTTATTTGTTTACGTCAATTTTTTTCTTAATTAATGACAAATACATCGTGCAGATTGAAATGGTAAGAGAAAAATTAAAAAGAATTAAAACAAAGAAAAAAGTTTGTATTGTGTGTTAAAGTGCCGGTGTCAACATTATGTATTTTAAAAATAATTAGAAGTTTCTAGTTTTTGTGTGTGTTTGTTACTGTGTTCCAATTATGATTTATGTTGGTTTTTAATACAAAATGGAGGACGACCGGTTTGTCCGGGTGGCTGGTAGGCGAATATTCTTACTTTGACATTTACCAATGAATGCCGACAAGGTAAAAAATTTTGGACGTTTCAATGCAATTAAATAATTTGCAAATTGTTATTCTAAAATGTATACAGTTTTCCTCGACGCGCCATCGTCGGTTCCGGCTACTTGGCCAAGGTTGATTTATGAGATTGAATAATTATTGTAACATTTTACAAGGAATTTTCTAAATTACTTTATTTATAAAGAACTGGTCGTTGGAATTGCATAGGTACTTTCTCAAATATTTTGTACGCATAACTTTATATTATCTTAGATAGGTACAAATAATCACCATCATATGAATTACACACTTAGCCTTTGAGCGAAAAAAGAACTAAAAAAAATGAAAAAAACAAACAAAAAGAAACAAAAATAAAAAATCAATTACAAAATGTATGCCGAACAGACAAGAAAGCGTGTGGTAAAAAACTCCGAACTGGTAAAAATTCATACCTTTCAATAAGTTCTACTTGTAACTAATGTTCCTGCCTAGCAAGTCTACTGCTGAACATGGGCCCCATAGATGGTAATATTTCTTTAAAACGAAATATTTCTTTGTTTATTCTATTCTTAAGGAGAAGGAATTATAATTTATTTCCTATAGACGACATTGCAAAACAGGATTAAAAATAGAAAAGTTAATAGGCAAAATAACTCAAATCATTATATTACGAAACAAAGTTGAATTGATTGTGTTGATTAAACTAACTGATTGTCATTGTACTCGTGTTTTCCTACAATTTGCATCAATATAACACTAAAATTCCTAACGATGTTTACACATAAGCTTTACGGCCTACTGCATACGTGCGTATACCGCAGAGTGGAACGTCCTTCGCGGTCAGTGCCCCCAGTAGCGAAGCAAGGGCTGTTCAGGGCCCCGGGTGACAGATATTAGGGAGCGGAATTTTACAAAGGGGAAGTCAGATTTCCGCCTTATCTTTTCTACATGATGCCAGTAATGCCAGTAATTATCGTGGTAGAGCTACAGCTATATTAGTAATATGGTTGTAGCACGAATGGGTCGGCTTGACCGGGTAAGGACCACGCTCTCACAGAATACCAGCGTAAAATAGCAGCTCAACACTGCTGTGTATCATAATGTGAGTGTAGAGAAACGGAGACCCTTTTTACTGGAAACGAGGCATTCCATCTTAGTCCTCCAGGATGACAACGCATCTGCGTTTTGATTCGTAATCGAGAATGGATGTAGATGTCTATGGGCCACAGCAACCACTTACCATCAGGTGGACTGTGTGCTCGTTTGTCGTGTGTCCTTCCCCGGTCGAGCCAACCCATTCGTGCTACAACTACACTAATACTACTAATATAGCTCCAGCATGGCTCTACCATGTAATTATTTGATTTATTACGGATATTTTGATTAAAACAATACTGTAGCATCAAAACTTCTAAAAATATAGATATTTTGCACACACGCTATTATAAACTGCCAGAGCATGGGGTAACTCGAGGGCCACCAGCTAAATGGTACCAATACCCGTTTCCGTTAGCGTCGCTCAGCAGGTGACTTTCCTCATTCTCTTCTTTATTCATAGATGGGTGGAGACAGTAAATTCTAAGTTTGAGGCCTTGGCAGTGAGTTTGGACACAGACAAGACCTTCGTTCGGATATAGTTGCAGCGTGGCTATAACCAGTAGTAACACACATTATAGCCACGCTGCCATGGCATGGCATTCCTATTTGGACCATTACACATAAAACAAGTTTTTAACATTGAATTAATTTAATACGTTATTTTTTTAATTTATCGACACTATTTCGTCTTTTTTTCCTTGTTAGTGTAGCTTCGGTCAGTTCTAAGTTATACGAAGTATATATTATAATGTCATTCTCAGCTGCCAGTACTCACCAGAATTTGTAAGGAATGGTCAAAATAACATCCCTTTTTTTTCTTTTTTTTTTTTTTTTTGAGGCGAAAACTTCTAAAGAATCTTTGTGATTTGCGAAAGCCCATGAAACGAAAAAGCAACACTAAAAAAGAGACAGATATACGTCTATAGGATTTAGCCTGCGATAAAATGAGATAGAATACAGCGTTTCTATCTTATTCTCTCGCAGTCTTTTTAAGGTTTCACTTCTGCAGCGTGTAATTTGCAAACATGTTTCTTTTTCTTCTTTAACGGTACGTGAATACTGCAAGAGGGTGGCCCATAGAGAAATCCTAAACAAAAAAAGTTAATTTGCATCCTATATTCCTGAAGCTGTGCACTGGCCTCCTCTCTCAATTTTTAAAGGTTTTGGGTATACTATACTACTATAAGGAACGTGCAGATGTAGATAAGGAAACCAATTATCAGTACTTGTACTTGCGGTTATTCGGGCCCGGTTAAAATTCGATACTTACTTGTGTTTTGTATGGTGATTGTAGAGAACCGGAGACCCTTTTTACTTGAAACGAGGCATTTCATCTAGTCTTCAGGGGTGACAACGCACTTGCATTTTGATTCTCATTTGAGGATAAATGTTGATGTCTATAGACCACATTTTGCACTTACCGTCAGGTGGACTGTGCGCTCGTTTGTCACCGATACTTCTATAAAAACATATTAAAGATCTTGTTTTTCTCGAATTCTGGTTAAAAATTTACGTGCGTCCGGGGAAGTACGCACCGGTTTTTAATCAGTTTACTTGCGAATACATAATATGTATATACTATCTATGAACAATTCTCTATAAATAGCCATACAGTCGCCGTAGCGAATTCTTTGTTTTTATTGAATACTTACAATGTATTTACTAAGCTACAATCTAAGCATACATCTTTTTAATTCTTTGGATCTTCAAACTTATTATAAAAACAGGTTCAGAAACATTATCAGTCTCACTCACCCATATCTCTATCTTTATCTAAAATCAACGATGTATGTTATTCAAGTTTTTGTTTCAAACGCGTCACTTAAATGTAATAAATTAGATGTATATTCTAGAAAATGTTTTATTTATTTTTAAATTCATTATTAAATTATGATTTTTTTAAACGAACTAAAATCACGCGCATTTACCACAGTAGTTATCTCACTAAACTATCAGTCAAATCAGCCGGCAGTACACGCTTTCTACAAAAAATATAAGCGATTGGAGCCAGGAGGTATGACAAAAATATCGTGCTAAAGACGTGGTTTGACGACAGTAATCCTTAGGTTGCCAGGTTGGACAAAAATATCGTATTTAATTTTTTGTGTTATTAATCTTTTTTCCGTATTGTAGAGGCGGTTTACATACATAAATTGCACAAGTACAAACACACAGACCCGAAACAATTATTTGCAGGCAATACAAATATTTGTTCCGTGAGGGATTCGAACTTGCGTCCCTAACGCCGAAACTTACTGCCAAACCACTGCGCCACGGAGCAGTCAACATGATTTTGATGCTCGAGAATTGGTAGTGCGGAGAGATGTTACATCTCTGCGTATTTTATCGCATCTACCATAGGGGAATTGTTTGGACTGATTGCAGCCCATATGTTTACCTCTGCTCTGATTCTTCTTAAAATAGTAGCTCTGAAAAAATATGCACAAACTTAAAATAGGTACTTAATTGAATTCTAAAGCGAATGGATTTTTAAAATACTTTATTTTAATCGACATAAAAGTTACAGCCTATATACGTCCCATTGCTGGGCACAGGCCTCCTCTCTTTGTTGAGAGAGTTTTAAGGCAATGAAGCGTTTATTTTTTATAGTAGAGGGGGCAAACGAGCATGCGGCTCACCTGATGTTAAGTGACTACCGCCGCACATGAACAACTGCAACAGCGGAATTGCAGGTGCGTTGTTGGCCCCTTTTAAAAGGAGTAAACTCTTTTTATGAAGGTCTCTAGGTCGTCTCGGTCCGGAAAAATCTTCGGTGGTAAACCATTCCATAGAGAGGTCGTAAGCGGAAGAAAGCTCCTAGTGAAACGTACAGTGGTGATCTAGATAGTGTGGATGATATAGGGAGGTTTGCCACGTAGTGTGTTCGTGAAATTTGGAGGCTGGGATTAATCCGAACAATTCCTTAGAGTACACCCCGTGATATATGCGAAAGAAAATGCAAAGAGATGCAACATCTCTTCGCAGCGAATCGAGCCGATCGGAAAGCACTCGGACGTCGACGATTCGAGTCGCTCTACGCTGGATGTGGTTAAGTGGAAGGAGCTGGCACTGAGGAACCCCAGCCCAGAGATGGGTACAGTATCCAGTTTCCATGTGCGTCAGAACCTGCGCCTTGTAAAGTTGCAGGCGGTGTGCCGACATGAAATACTGTCCCGCTCTGCTCAGCATGCCAAGCTTTTAGAGGCCAATTTGGCCTTCTCTTCCAAGTGACCACGAAACTGCACGTCACTCGATATGTCAACGCCGAGGATTCCGATATTGTCTGAGGCAACAAGGGGAGAGCCTTGAAACTAAGGAGATACGATAAAGGGGTTCCTTTTTCGGTTAACGCGCAAGCTTGTGTCGTCTGAGGGTTAAACTGGGCTAGATTTAGTCGCCTTCAATCCGAGACTTTGTTCAGCAAAGACTTGACTTCAGACACAATTTATCTCGGTACTCGTAGACATTTTCCCGAGAAATATTGACACGGCCGACGTACAGAGCATCACCAGTGCTGTCATCTGCATAGCAATTAATGTTACGGGTTTGCAACATATCATTGATATGCAGAAGAAACAGCGTTGGTGATAGCACGCAGCCCTATGGAACGCCAGCATTAATAGGCTTGTAATCAGAGCATGCACCGTCTACAACGACCGCAAGAAAACTGGTGATCCAATTGC